CCAGGATAGTGGCAGTGGGGAACAGAACCCAGTCCTGTGCTCTATCCACTAGGCTTCCTGCCTCTCCCAGCATGCTCTTGCCTGCTACAGAACAGACCACAGTTAAAAAGCCTGGCTTTTAAATACTATTGTTGCTACCACTATTGGTCATGAAGTGGCAGTAGCACAACACCCATGGAAGCCAAGAAAGGCCTGTCTAGCATAAATAAACGATGTGGGAACCGAGGCTGCTGACATTACTCTGAGATTTCTTGGTTATGTCTACTAAACAAGTTGCTTCTTACCTCCGACAGTTATTTAACTAAAACATTTTAACTCCACTTGTTAAATAAAAACACACCTCTCTCAATGCAGTGTCTTCCACTGACCTTATGCTGACCAGGAATGATAATGATTCATTTAGCCCACACCTGCTTCTGCCACGGTGTGCCAGTTAAGATGTTCCTATCGTATAATATGCAAAGCCTGTCCTGGTGCATGGATCTAAGCATTTGTATAAATTGCTCTTGCTTATTTTTTTTCCATCACCTGTGCCCACAGAATGGGTGTTTTTCTTGCATCATGACTATGAGAGCGGGAAACAACCTATTACTGTCCAGTAAATGGCCCATACTTTAGGAAGGCTGTTAAAGGTTGGGAAAGAATTAAAAGAATGACTCAGTCAGGAAAAATCTTTTTCTTATCATGTTTACAAGGCCTGTGATTATTTCTGTTGCTCTCCTCTGTACTCATTCCAATTTGTCCACATCTTTCTGGAAGAGCAGTTCCCAAAGTTGGCCTCACCATTGCCAAATACAATAGAAGAATCATGCAACACTCCTGTTAATCTATTTAATATGCTATTCGGTTTGTTTTCTTTTTTGCAACCATTTTACACCGTAGACTTATGTTCAGCTTACAGTCCTCTATAACAGAGGTGTAGGGCATGTGATTAACCCCATGGGCTGGATCGAGCCAATGGACCCCCTCCCCACCCCTGCACGCCAGACCCAGCAGACATGGTGCTCACTCTGACCAGTGTAGGACCATACTGGATGCAGCATCCATGCACGACTGGTCCAGGACCCCTACCGCGTGTGGTGCTCACCTCAGATTGACCGAGTGTGGGTGTGCAGTGCATGTCCCTGGCCAGCCGGAGCAGGCGCATGTGCAATGCACATCCAGTGCACACTGCATGTGGGTCAAATCCAAACCCAGGGGCAGCACCAGGGGCCAGATGATGAGGCTCCATGAGCTGGATTTGGGCCACTGGCCAGATCTTTGACATCTACAACCCCTAGGTCCTTTTCTGCAACACTACAGCCTACCCAACTGTTCCTCAGCTCAAAGTTCACAAAAAGAGGCTGAAGAGGCATGTGTTTAGGGTGGTTTAGGACTGCTGCATACTGTATCAGTGCATACGCTTGGACTAGATGATGCTAACAGTCCGGGCAAACTCTCATTCTATTAAAAACATAAATTAAAGTCTTTTTTCAGAGAAAAATGTATTGCTGATGCTATTTAATAAAAATCTGTTGGCCCCTTGCATCTTTTTGTCTTGGTTAGACAGCTCGCAATGCAATGGTGCCCTGGACCAGGACTGGGGCTCCCAGGTGTTACAATAATACAGAGATGGTAACCCTGTTTGATAAGAGCAAAGCAGCAGCAACCATTTTGCCCACTAGATGGCTTCATCCTCATGAAGATAACCCAAGGGAAATTTTAACAGGGCTGTATCAATGGGCAATTTTAGTAAACTAGAGCATTTGATCACTTGCCAGTTTGCCACAAAATATTAACTCTATAAATCTTTCAAATGAACCCCCAAATGAAAAAATAATATAGCTGCCTTACCTCTTGATTAAGGAAGCAGTACAAAACAGCGACAATAAATCCCTGAAGAAACAGAACAGTTAAATCGTAGCACAAATGGAAAAGCTACTTTAAGCGTTAATAGTCTGTGATGCTATTTATACTAAGCATCCACTGGAAGAATGAAAGGTATAATGAATGAGCTGTATTCATCCCCAGTACATTTCCATCAATCAGCCAGATCTGCAGCTGGTGTATCCAAGTCAATGAAGCTACACCATTTTACACCGGCTGGTGAGTCTAACCGGGGAAGGTCTGACAGGGTGAATTTTCACTGCAGTGTGGTTCTCAAATGTACAGCTCACTCTGTGGACCAATATGCCATGAGGCTCACCTTATATAGAGAAAAACAGCAAAGCATCATGGACTGCACTAGGAGACCCTGTGTGCACAAGATCACGCTGCTTTGCTTGGCTTTAGGGATTTAAGAAAACGATTCTCAATTTGTACAAACCATATAGCTTCTGGAATGTTGATGGAGCTATGGCAGTTTACACTAGCTGAGTATTAGGCTCTCTCCTACAGATATAATTATATTCCTACTGTGCAAGATGATGAGGACAACTTCACAAAGAGATTCAGAGATTCAGAAACTACCTATTGAAACCACCTAGTGAATTTAGGCAGAGGGGATATCGTGTTTGGGGCTGGAATTTCACTAGGATATGAGGGTAAGCACGAGGCTCGGATCCTAGCATCTCTGGGAGGCACGTAGAAGGGATTTAGGAACAATGTAGATGTCTAACCTCCAAAGGGTGATCTAGTTTGGCCCTCTTCCACCAGTACATTTCTCTTTAAACTCGGGTGGGCACCTCTATTTCACACTACAGAGGTCCCTAGGCACCTACCCTTTGGCTTCTAGGTATGTTCAGATGCAGTCCCTTTTGATCCCCCAGGGATCACGCAAAATTGTGTTGTGGAAGACACCTCAGACCACAGGGAGACCTGGTCCATTGGGTCTGCTCTGAGCATGCCAAACTCACATTGACAGCATTGAGTTCAGCTCAGATTACCTGAGAAGTGCAAGACGTATGTCTGCATCCCTTTAGATTGGAGAGGCTTTATAATCCAGAGCTCTCCCGTCCGGAGTGAGTTCTCCAACCACAAGGCTATGGGGCAAAGGTTGGTGGGGTTTGTGTTACCACCCCAAGGGAGGTGGTGCTCTCCCCTACCCTGGGGGTCTTCAAGAGGAGGTTAGATAGGCATCTAGCTGGGGTCATCTAAACCCAGCACTATTTCCTGCCTATGCAGGGGGTCGGACTCGATGATCTATTGAGGTCCCTTCCGACCCTAACATCTATGAATCTATGAATCTATAGCTGAGGTACCTGCCCTCAATAATGAGACTAAGTAGAGCAGATCAGTAAGTGAATGCAGGTGCCGAACTTCTGGGATGGTACATAGCCCCATGCTTGATAACTCCTATTACAGCCTCTGCACATCCTGTAGTGCCCTTCAAAGATGCCAACTGCAGCCCATTCTCTGTATAAAATAGCTTGGAAATCTAAACTCAGTCAAACTGTGGAGGTCCAACTCTGTGGAGATGCATACATTTCTCTCTCGACTGCCTAGTGATCAACCTAGTCAAATTCTAGCACCCTCTGAGGCTGAAGCACCTGTATTTTTGGGGTTAACCTGCCTAAATTCAGGCATCCCCAAGATCAAGTTAAGTCGGGCCCTCTACACTAATATTCAGCTGGTGCAAGTCAGCAAACTCAAGGATTTCTACTTCTTCCCACCAGAAGTGGCCCAAGGTTGCAAGTGGCCATTGGAGGGCTCGTTCACAGAGGCAAAGCAGCGTTATTTTGAAGGGTTGGAGCATTGCCACAAGTCATCCTGGAACAGACGACTGTGGGGGAAGGCATGGTGGCAAAGGTCGTGCGAAACCACCTTTCTGATGTCTGGATCTGGAGCTAAAAGCAGGAGGGTCACAGCAGTCTCCGGTGGAAATCACAGTTTAAATTACACAGGCACTGCTATCCAGACCCCTTGTATGCAGGACGTAGAGTGCAAGAGGCACATGGCCAACACAGGAGGCCAATACAAGGGTTACTTCTGCATTGGGGCATTTTTTCTGTACCCTCATGGGCTTCCTATATGGATTTATAAACGGCCATAGCTGTGCATAGATGCTGTTCTAGAGCCTACATTAACTCTATATGCTTAGAATATATTTCTGAGTGAATTTCTAGAGCCACTGGATAATTTTGTGTACCATTTAACTTTGGAGCAGTAGGTCACCCACCACAGCTTGATCAGTGCTCTACAACTCCCCTAGCTTTGGAGACCTGGTATACGCCGGGCGAGTCTGAGTCAGTCAAACTTCAAAGGGAAGGAAAACAATATATAGGCAATAAAGTATCTAACTGTTGCAATACTTCAACAGTTTTACCTGAAAAGATCCAATGCAGAGCTCTAAATAAAGCCGGACTCCCAGGTTGGTATATTCAGGGAGGAAGTTGAAGACAATATAATGGGTCCCAAATAGTGGAATAAGAAGCAGTGTTGACTTTGAGAGACGCCTGGTGTCAGAAAGGAGACAGAGGCAACATCATGTCATTTTTCTGAAGAGCACGAAGACCAGTAAGAGCAAGATTCGCTAATAAGAAGTGACGCTCACCAGGGTAAGAAAAGGGGTTTTTCTGTTCTTAAACTTCAATGTCTTTTGAGACTGCAAAATCAGTTGGGAAGTGTCATGAGAACAAAGCTGGGAGAGAAATCCAGTGCTTCTGGCTGGCAGGGAAGAACCGCATAACCAGCCTTTCTTGTTGTACAATTTGGCAGTCTTGCTTTTTGAATAAGTATGAATAAATGTGCAGTTCGGGTCTAGCGGCCTTGAGAACGGGACTACAGCCAGGAACCCCTGAGCTGTTCTCCTGGCTCTGAACTGACTCTGTCTATGACCTTGAGTATGTCCTTCTCTATTTGGAAAATACCGCATTTCCTCTTTCTGGCTAGGCTTCATTGCTCCCTCTCTGCACGTTGCATGCATTACCTGTATTGAGACGAGTTATTGAAGTTGATTTGTCTCGGGTCCAACTTTTTCAGCAAGATCCTGATGATGTTGACAAAGAGGATAAAGTTGACCTGTTTCCATTTTTTTTTGGAAAAAAAAAATGTTACTTTTCCATAACAAACATTCAGGTGAAAAGTATATTGTGACTTAGTTATGAAGAGCTGCTATTGCAGTACATTGTGTCCTTTTGTACACCCTCATTGTAAACCATTGTTTATTATATGTATTAAAATAGTACGTTCTTTGGACATTGCCCATCTTACAGAGACAGATAAAGTATCCCGTAAGAGTACTGCAAATATTTTTTCTCATTATTCACTGGGGAACACCACATCGTATAAACAACCAATCTTTGTTAGTCTGTCAAGTGATTAACAGTTTCACTGTAGATCATGTGATTCTTCATTTTCCCATTTCAGACAATTATAGTTGTTGCATGTGACCGTGGTCAATACCTTTTGAGTTTGCAAGTTAAATTGGTTTAACTTGAGACTGTTGGAGTGATGATGTAACCCTGATGAAAGAATATACTGTGTCTGAAAGCTTGCTAAATCTATCCTAACCGTGCTTGGTCTGATAAATATATCACCCATAAAAATGCTTGCCTGTTGCTTAATTTGATGTATATGCAATGAAGTAAACAGGTCATTCACACCTACAGAGAATTTTTCCCTGTTAGCCTTGTGAAAGTGGATATCTGTGCATCCGTTTCTCTTTCAGGGGAATGGAGATGATTATTTTGGTCTAAAGATGTCCATCTTTCACCAGACATTTTTAATCTCATTTACCCCACCAATGATGAGTTAATTGCACGACTGCACAAAAATGAACGTCATGCTCACTTTAGCATTCCTACCAAGTAGTTGGGGATGTCAGTCAAACACAATGGGCAAAAACAAGGGAGGTGTACAGCAGTATTAACACATCATCACAGCAAATTAGAGCTAATGACTATATTTTTGGAGTCTTCATTCACACCACTCTATCCTGCACAATTGCCGCCTTCAACAACATTCATACTCCTTATGTATGTGCACCTGGAAACTTCATAAGACACACCCATGCAGTGCATTTAACTGCAGTTGAATGCCCGGCTTTACTGAATTTGTACATTGGATATTTTCTGTGGATTCCTGACCTGTTGGGATTAATTGCACACCCAGATCCATTAACCCCAACCACTTATCTAATGCCAATACATGCATAGCTCAAAGGTCATTAGTGCTGTTATCACCTTAGACAGAGAACAAAATTAGGTGAGACTACCCTGCACTTATAAAGCATATATTTAAATGCTTTGCTGAAGTGGAGGGTTTTCAGCCAAATCCTCCATTTTCACCAAGGTCAAGAGAGGTTTCGTAGCCCAGCTCCCATTATTTGCAATGGGAATGAGAAGTCTTTCAAACATGGGAAA